GTCTTTTCGACATTTTTAAACCAGAATTCCGGTGATGTTGATTTATGTCAATATTCAGCGAAAGATTAGCATCACATTTTTCGGCGTATGAAATGAATTTTCTTTTTAAAAACCCGCGCTCTACGCCACCCGTCGAGGTGATTGGCAACACTGCGTAGGGAGAAACGTATGTTAAGCTACAGCCACTCCGAAGTGAACGTGATGACTTGGATCATGTGGGGTGCACGTTGAAACTATAAATATCACAAAATTTCGTTCCGGAAACCTGGAGGGATGAATGCAGAGATATCTGGAAGAAGATGGTGTAATAATATTAAAAGAAAATTTGGAGGATGAAGGTAGCAGGAGAATTCAGTCCACTGGCTTAAACGATCTAGTTCTGTGGAAGTATGGTGCATCATGATGAGCCAACTAACTAACTTCTTGTTCTTTTCTATAGTACACACACCTTTTACCGTAAAGTTTGTGTGTAGCATTGTATGCCTAATCATTACCAATAAATTAATAGGACGTTCGTTTCCTTGTAACGATGCTTTTCTTAACGAATAATTTTTAGGGCCGTCCTAGCCGTTTCCTTTCGCAAAATGAGAAAAACTGCGCGCGCAGTCAGATCGTAAATGTAAACGTCCTGGAACGTGATTTGATATTGCAATTTTTCAGGGTTTCTTTCTAAAAAAATCAGCAAACATCAGCGTTGAGGAGAAGAATAAAAAGAATATCGTCATCTTCACAGTCCTGAAAACCTCAGATCTGAATAGAATTGTTACTGAATCTACTGACAGTCGCTGTCAAGATCAGTTTGTAATTTCTTGTATGTTGGAAGCCTGTCGCCAAAAGAATACCAATGAACCAATAGGTCAGAGCTGAGAGTTAACATCTGACTGCAGACAAGATGAGGTGCGTCCACATTAACCTCTGTCTAGTGCAGAGGTTCCCAAACTTTTATACCTTGCTCCCCCCCTTAAAACATTTCATAAATTTCACGCCCCCCCTTCCAGAACAAGTACAAGCAAACAGATTTGACGTAAAATTTAGCTATGAGTATACACCACCACAAGGAAAGGATGTTAAAAATATTTCGTTAAAAAAGTTTTTTTATACAACCCCCCCAGGGGGGGGGCCACACTTTGGGAACCTCTGGTCTAGTGGCATCATTTTATTCAAGGCTTCACTTCCAACCCACTTCTGGTAGGCTGTTCGTTTGCTGTATTACACAATTCTCTATCTTGACTGCACAGCACATGTAATGTCGCAGCTGTGAACATTATTTAATCTTGGGTTACGTAAACAAGAGCTGAACCAATAATTTTATCAGATGCTTTGTTTGGTTGTCAGACATGTTTCCTCATTTTGAGGTAAGGACATAAACTACAATTGGAATTTGACCTGGACTCTGACTCCGTGGAGTCGTTACGATACGGAAATCGACATTTTCGCCGCTGTGTGGAGGACCTCGTACCAAAGATAAATCTGAAGACTCTGAAAACAAGTGTTTGGGAAAAGAAAGATTAATGATGATTTAAGATAGGCACGGCACTTAGCATTGTTAGGTGAGTGGTGAATCAGACATGTAGCGGTGACGAATGAACCAAGAACGTTGTTGGCATTCATTGGCCACTTTCGAAGACAGAGAGGGATGGCCAAGGCAACTTATGAGTGGATAGAACTGGCTCAGGATCGTGTGAATTGGGGCGGGCTTTTCGTCTTAGCGGTGTTGAAATCCCGGGTTGCGCTGTCAGAGAATTAGGTTTAATGAGTCACGCATTTTCAAAAATTCTTTTGTTTCCAAATTTGTGGATACTTATTTCTGTCAGTTTGTTGAGTAGCTCCACCAGTTTCTTGTAAATGGTTGTTTGTCTAAATGGCTCATAGTGTGTGTGTGTGTGTGTGTGTGTGTGTGTGTAAGCTTACGCATGCGTTGATTTCGCCCTGCCTCTGGATTCGATCGTCACTTTTTATCTCCAGTGACCTTGCTGTGTCCTTCCAGTTCGTTCGCGTGCCTCCGGTCTGTATGCGTCACCGTCTTTAAAGTGGATTCGTTTCCTCTTACGCTTCTGTTCCACGTGAGGTTGGAAATTCTGATTCAAATTACACTTACGCTTTGCTCGGGTCTCGCTCCGAGCACCGAATACAAGATTAGGCTTTCTCGTGGTTTTTCTTCAGTTCTTCCGGGTGAATATCACAAAATCTATAACTTCATGTTGATTCGCATATCCATTCACTGTAGCCTATTTAAGTGGTCCGTAAACGTGTCTTCTTTACACCCTGATTTGTCCAAGGCACGTGACACCACAGAATGTCGCCTCGTGAAAAGGGGGTACGAGATTATACACGGTCCTAAATACACGTAAATATTTCCGAAAAGAGAATCCAGACGCACGAAAACAAAACATAACGCCTGTTGATTAAAGCTGTCGATGATGAAAGATAAGATTTGTCTTTTTCCAGCTGCAACTTGCGAATATGAAATTTCTTATCAAAAATTCGCGGGACTCCGGAAAACTTTTGCCGCCGCTCAGGTTACGTAAAACAGGCCTGCCACCTGCTCTGAGGACAAATTAACATTGTGACATTAAATGGTGCTCCGTATAGCTATTCTTGCTGTGAGAGAGACATCTTGTGTCTTTCTGGTTGTTTGTGGGGTTGCGTAACTGTCATCGTCTGGTGTAAACCTGTTGCAGGCAAGCGCACCAACTTTCATTGAGCTGCGTACTAGGACTGAGGAAGGTGGAAGAACTCGCCTGGCTACTTTCCTGCTCGCGGTTTCCACAGTCTGTTGTCGGCCGGCGCTGGAAGTGGTAGTTCTGTTTGTGTGCGCGAGATAGGCAGTGGGGGGAGGTCTGATGGGGCTTGATTCCGTGAAACTTCCGTCCCCAGACGCGTGTCGTTACCGTAAATCTGTTTCTAAATTCCGATGTTAACACCTGGACCGCGTTCGTTACATTAGTTTTCCGTTTCACGCCAGAAACTCGTCGACAGATAAAATCGAATCGTTACCACACACCGGATTTGTGTCTTTTACCAGCAGAAAAAGTGTATTTTGCGTTGGCTTGTACATTTATTTCGTGGTGCCGTACGTGTGTTATATCTTTGCCTTCAAAGAGAATTTCTTCATCAAGTGTCCAGTGGATGTCAGAGCAGGTGTGTCTCCTATTATCTACTCCACCGGTAAGTGAAATATCGTAATTCTGATGTCGTGCATGCACGTCTACAGTGCACCGCCTAATTTCATAGGCGAGTTGAAATGTGTCTTACGGCTACAAACTGAAGGTGAAAGGCGTATTACTTAAACGCTGGAGAGATAGAGTAACGTTAAAAGCGTCGTTTCTAGAAACTTGAAGTGTTGTTATTTGTCCAGAAGTGAAGACCGAGAAGCGAGTTTGTTGCTGCACTACTTGGACTGTGAAATGTATACGGGCTCGCCCTAACAAGAGTTTAAGTCTCTTATACATTGACAACTTCGGTTTGAAACGAGACTGGTCGTTATCGTTATGTTGCGAGGCGCGTTAGCTGTGTGGTGGAATGCTAGATGAGTTTGATTGGGCTCCTGGGATCGAATCCTACTCGAGGCATGTTGTTTTTTTACAGTATGTACACAATTTTTTTAAAAAAGGTTTTTAGACGTTTTTATTTTCCGAAAAATATATACTTACGTCATTGTCGATCCCACCTCAGAAGTTTGTTCGACCGCCATGTTGATATTACAGATTGTAGATCTTGAAAATGCCATTTTATGGCATTCCAGAATGGTATGCCAAACTTAAACCTAATACGTCCATCGATTCTGCGGATGAATTACGCGGACAGACATGACCAGCCCTATGTGCGTTCATTTAATGAACCCGGGCCTTTATGACCCAGAACATTTCTGTTTCAACATAATCAACTTTTTTTTTTATTGAAGCTGCCGAAATGTAAACTAATCGAATTCAGCCCACGTCGTGTAACTGTCCGGCGTGTTGTAAGCGTCGAGTGATCTTCCTTTAAGAATTAAATTGTTAGTGTAAAAAGGGCGAAGACGCCAGGAGGTTCACAGCACAGATGGCTGTATCAGGGAGGCGTCTCTCTCTGTTTTTATCAACATCGGCTCCTGCTGTGATCACGAATTACGTCTCTTGCTACAAGCTGCATGCATTGCGTGTTGGTATTCTCCTGTAGAATTCACTTTCGTTGGGTGTTTTTTTTTCTTTAAAAAGTTCAGTTAACGGAAACTGGTAAAATCAATTTGAAAGTCAGCAGCGAATGGCTTCCCTCCGTATCTTCGTCCTCATAACACAACAAACACGCGTAATCGAAGGCTTAAGTAGTTGCTACGTAAGTGTAAAACAAACGTTTCGTTGGAAGAGGCATCAGCCATCTTGCTTTGTGTCGCGTGATTATGTTTTCCCCGAGGTCCGCTTTCATTCATGTGTCGCTCCTGTGAGCGCAAGCAAACATCTGTGTTTCCTTCGCTGTGTGCCAGTCCAAGTTCATAGTTCGATTCCCGAACGGGCTGAACCTTGAGATGAAGGGTAAACCAGGCTTTTGGAATGCCTTACTTCATCTAAATTTGACCGAGTTATTAATTTTGGCCTTGTTAAATGTATTGAAGAAAGAATGTAGCCATATTAAGTCGCTTGAGTTTCTCTTCTCGAGCGTGAAATAAACAAAGATTACGCAATCGTTCAAATTGTTACGCAACGCATACTTAAGCCATCCCAGACGTGGAATGAACCCTTTCCAGATGTGGGGTGACGACTTCATAACGTGTTCCACGTCCTTCAGGTTCTTTATACAACAGTTATACAACAACAATTTTCCTAAAATCCCTTCCGCACTTATAAAAGAATTTCGAAGCTGTAATCGTACGAGCCCCTGGCACGCCACTGGGTTTGACTTGTGGCTTCAACAAACAAACATCGAGAAGAGAGTGTGGAAGGACGGTTACAGTTGGTGTGTTTATGTCTTTAGGTAGAAATCTACTGACGTTTCGGAAGTTCTTGCCCTATCATCAGGGTGATCAACGCGGAAGCAAGCATCTATGCAACGTCGGTAAACTTTTACCAGACTCCCAGAATACATATTCCATACTCTCCGCTGTAAAAGCCTGAAATATCATGGATTGTTTTCGAGTTTTGTCAAATAATTTACGTACGGAATTCGCCCCTTCGTTACTAATGTGTGACATTTGCGTCTCATTTGTTATCAGCGTAAATGTAGCAGGAACTGGTCGCAATTATCGCGACGGGGTGAGACTCTGAGCCATTTTGTTCACCAGAAGTTCCACTTGTACTGTCCTAGGTGAAACCCCGGGTCTCCGCGGTGAGAAGGGGGCAGCTAACCTCGTGCTCCACGTTCTGTTTTACGTTAGATCCTCGATTTTCCCCCCAGGGTTTCCAAGGAAAACATGTTATCGCCGCCTATGCTAACCATAGACTGACAAGTGTAAAAATGACGTAACTAACTTAACTAGGAGGTCGGGAGGGAGGGGTCCGCGTGTTTGGAAGGACGTGAGTCATCCTCGGTTGTCGCGTTGATACGGCAGCTCGGAAGTCACCTTCAAGTTCAACGCGATTACGGTACTTCTATTTAATTGTTGAAAATATTTGGAAGAGACAGTGCTTCAAATTTTATTTCGAGAGTTATATATCACATTGAAGTTCCATCAGACATTTTTTTAATTCAGAAAGTTGTCTCATTTTCTCACCGACTGTGACTGCAAATGGATTTCGCATCCATTCAAGTCGCTGAAGAGTTAGTTCTGGAAAGGGATTCTTAAAATTGTTGTCAGGATCTGTGAGACGAGTCAAAACACGAGGTTTCTTTTCGTAAAACGCGTGTGACAAACATTTCTGGGGTGCCACTACCACAGAGGCTCTTCCGTAACGTCTTTTTTATGAATGCCGAAACGGCTGAGACCTTGAAAAGAGAAGTTTAGCCCACTGAGCTCATCAGATGCGTCTGATAGACATGGCAAAAGAACAAGCCATCTCTTATCTGAAAATGTTCACGTGATGGAGAACCAGATCCCTGTGAACGTCGGCGAATCCTTTAAGGACTTTCCCACCTCTTGTATCCCGTCAAATCCACTGCATTGAGCAACCACGTCCTCTGCGTGTGTCTGATAGAACACGAGCCCCTCCTGGATGTTTTGTTCCAAACAGTACGAGGTGCGATCGGAAAGTTTCAAAACTGTGTCAATATAGGGCGAACCGGATGTAGTACGAGCTTCTGCCGCTAGGGGGTGCGGCCTACATTCATAGTGAATCAGTGTGCCAGCCGGCATCATCGAATTAGCATTTGTTTCTTAGTTACGGGCGTTTTGCTAGTGCATTACACCGACCCTCCTGCGATTTCGGAATGGCGTGTGCATCAAATGTTGCCAAAGACTCGCCAAAACGGCTACGGAAACCTATGAAATGCTAAAGCAAACATTTGGGGAGTCCGCAAACTTTTGTGTGGCATTCACGTTTTAAAAATGACCGAACCTCTGGTCAGCTGATTCTAAAGGAAGAACTCCACATGCGACGCATCCTGTCAGAGGACTAGAAGCAGAATCGACTTCTCGTTTGTCAGGAGGTCAAAGATCTTGCAAGAACCGACCCCAGCTTCCTTTCTAAGCTCCGTGTGACTTCTTCCTCTTCCCAAAGTTGAAAATTCAGCTAAAGGGAAGGAGATTTGAGACGATAGAAGAGATTCAGGCAGAATCGCAGATGGTGCTTGACAGGCTGACAAAGAAAGATTTCCAGGGATGCTTCCAGGCTTGGCAGCGGCGCTGGGATCGTTGTGTTCACTACCAGGGGAACTACTTCGAGGGTGATGGATGAATTTAATACCTGAGATAAGTGTACGGGTTTTTATAGGCGCAGTCTGGAAACCTTTCGATCGCACCTCGTAAGTACTGACAAATGCAAGAGCTTCACTTCATTGTTTGCCGCGCACTATTAATGGAATTTTCGTGGTTACTGGAAGCAGTAATGTCTCTCCGATTGCGTGAGGATTCTTCTTTTTGGTTGTTAAGCGTGGGACGTAAAAGTTCCAGAACTTCTTTTGTCGAAGTAGTGACAGCAGTTCTCATTGTGTTTGGCTGTTAACGGATTCCTGGTAGTTTTCTTTCGGAAACTGTAATAGTTGATTCGTGTTTTGTTAAGCGCCTACACAGATGTCTAGCATTGAAACTATTGTTTGCGACTTCGCCACACCCAGCACTCAGGGGACGCTCTTACTCAGTTTACGGGCTGTGTCAGCTTTTACGAAAGAACGTAGACAGCGTTAGTTAGTTATAATCAGAGCTTTAACACGGAAGTTCGCCATTTCTTTGTCCCTGTTTGATTTAAGTCGCTGCCGCGAAGGGATCAGTCTGATTAAATATTACACTGCAACAATTTAATTCTAAAACTGCCTAATCAGAAGACATCTGGTCTGCGTGATTACTCTTTTAACTCAACTGCACTTTGTGGATTTTGTAAGGTGAAAAAGCATTTGGACAATTACATCAGTTGCTAGTTCCATTTTGGAGAATTCCCATAATTTTTAAGGGGACTTTAAATGTTTCGCGCACCAGTTCGGTTCGCGCCATCTAGTTTGGGAACCGGAGTGTAAGGAAGAGGTCAGTGCTGATAAACTATCATACGTCGCAAGATAGTGGCTCGTTTTTGACAAACCAGTAGGCCTAAATTTAAAACGAGGTGCTCCGAATGAAGTTTTATGTTCTGTAATCTTGGTTAATCCACTGTGGTCTAGCGGTTAGAACGCTGGCCTTGTAATCCTGGGGTCTCGGGTTCGATTCCCGGCGGTGCCCGAATTTATAACTTGTGTTGGGCAAGGCCGTGGTCTAGGCAACACGGAGTTTTCCTCCGGGGGCTTCCCCGGTTTCTCCGTGGCATCCCAACAATTACTCCATGCACACACAGAAGAAGGCAATGGCAAACACTTCTGGATCATCTGCCAAGAACAGGTCCCAGTCCGAGAAAAGGAAGGAAGGATCCTGTTCATATGGACCTGACCTGTCGTCATTCTAACTTGTGTTGGGCAAGGCCGTGGTATAGGCAACACGGAGTTTTTCTCCGTGGCATCCCAACAATTACTTCGTTCACACACAGAAGAAGGCAATGGCAAACCGCTTCTGGATCATCTGCCAAGAACGTATATGAACAGGTCCCAGTCCGAGAAAAGGATGGAAGGATCCT